CCAACCATTAATTCAAGAATAATGTTATTCATCCCCAGTGGGGATAATAATCCCCAGTGGGGATGAAAACATAATCTAGTTGGTGTTAAATGATAGGTTAAATGAAAGGTGAAATTAAATGACTTATTTGATTTCACCTATCATTTAATGCCACATTAACGCCACATAAACTGTGTTTTCATCCCCAGTGGGGATGAATAGCATTACTCCACAAAAAGAGTAAGTTGGTGCTCCAAAAACAACTAACAATACATGTTGGTCCTTCAAACCTTTAAAAATTTGAAACATACAAGTTATTCTTCCATCTTCACAGAAAACACACGTTGTTCCCCGATGAACAAATTGAAAGTTGGTGATCGAACTACACATAACTCAAAATTAGTCCTCCCACTATTACTCGTAACGTAGAAGAATTGAGTTGGTCATCCAACTATTCTAAAGGAGCATGTTGGTACTAAAACTAATCACAAAATCCAAGTTAAACCACGAACTATTGCGAAGGATCAATTTTGTCGTTAAGTTATACAATATGACAAGAAGCTCCTCCAACTATTTAGAAAAAGGAAAGTTGGTATTCCAAAAAAGTGTATGATGGTCCTCCAATTTGATAAAATAAAGAAAGAGAAAAAAATCTTATAAGTTTATTATGTATTGACTACATTTAGTGTAAAATTTTGCGAAATTTATTATTCCCATTTTGCTTTTCATTTTATATTACAATAAAATGTAATTCTTTCTATATCATTTTTATCCTTTTAGTATTTAATGGTTTCAATTTATCTATATTTATTTTAATGTGTTTTTTATTTGTAATTTCTAATTAAGTAATAAGTATTGAATAAATTAAATTAAAATTGCTCTTTAAAACTCAAAATGCACATTGCACTTCGAAATACATTAATTGATCATTTGTAAGATAGATATACTAATTTCGAGAAATAAATGACAAAACTAGTTGTGATTTTATTATGTAACTTTTTTTGTGCATTCAATATAATTCTCTTAATTGTGGTATTCAATTTAATGCATTTTTTCTTAATTTATTAATAAATGCAATATATTATTTCATTAAATATATTTTTTAACTTAATAATTTTAGTAATTATATAATTTTTAATTAAATTAATTGTCTAAAAATATATAATAAAAAAAAATGAAGGATACCATTCATTTGGTATACCATTAGAGAGGTCACCTCAATGTCAATGATATCGACGGAGAATATAGAGATTGACGAAGAATATGATCTAACATAATTATGTATATGATTGTATATACCATATTTATGTTAATTACATCTATTATATTTAGTCCTATTTGATGGTCATTATTGTTGAGACAATAGAGTTTTGAATAGTTATTTTCTAAAGAATGTATAGTTAAAAAATAAGAAATTTTTTTGAATTTATATGCAAAATATTTTATTGTGTAAATGTATTGTTGAAAATGAGTATAAGAATTAAAGAAATTTAAATTAATAATTATCAAACAGGAGCTTAGATTAATATCATAGTATAAGATACTCTTCTCGTATAATGCAAGAAATCCCTCGAGGGAATATCATTTTGTCAAAAATTTGTCATTCAAATTGGTGTGAAAATTGCACCAATTTGGTACAACAAACCATTGGAAATGCCCTAATGGCTCGTGCATCCATCCATAACACTCGTATAAAATTTGAAAATAATGTGCAATAAAATTTTGATTATAACTAATACACTAAAAGACTTAAAATAATTTACAAGACGTCCACCTTACCTTTTACTAAACTTGTTAACCAACTGTGAGAAGTATGTACAACCATGTTGGTTGCGTGATCCTACACTCGACTAGACTTAGCTTGTTTGACCAAAAAGTCAGACTCAATTCGCCATGCGAGCTAATCGAGTTGGGCCGACCCACAAGCTTTAGGTGCTCAACTCGTCCCATGACCATTGGCACTTGAGTCTATAGACTTGTACAATTGTTTTCCTCAAAAGTCTACCCGATTACTTGACAAGAGTCAATTCAAAGCACTGCCAATCTATCAAATTAGGATTAATTTATTTGTATAAGCATGAATGACAATCATGGTTGATAATATGAGTTGTCAAAAATTGTTGGTTGGAGAAACAAGTTGTTCTTCAAATTGTCCAATGACGTTTGACACGTGACATGTAGTCAATAAGATTGTCATTTATGATCGTACTCCAAGCATGATTCATCAAATTAATTCAACTCATTTTGCGTCCAAACCCAACTCAATATGATCGATTTGATCAAAATTTAACATAACCAACACAACCCGTGTAAATGTTGAAACTCAACTCAATCAAGTATCGATCGCGTTGGGTTGGGTTGATCGGTTTGTGACAACTTATCAACAAAGATTAAATTCATCAAATTTTCTATTATACTAAATTCGAATAAACAAGATTAAATAGTAANCTTGTCAACAAAAATTAAAGTCATCTAATTTTCGATTATACTAAATTCGAATAAACAAGATTAAATTGTAAATAAATAAATAAAATTATCTATTATTTTATTCAATCTTCATTAACTGAGCCTACAGAGACTAAAGTACATTTTTTTTTAAGTAGGCTGGTCAAGTTGGGCGAATTTATTCGATTTTCATGAGTTAATCCATAACCATGACCTAACCCAACCCGCTTATACAGCCAAAAAATCGAACCCACTTAAAAAAAAAAAAAAAACCAAATCAAACCAATTGGGTTGGTTCACTTTTGGCGGTTTTGACATGTTTGGTCAGGTTTTGCCCACCCTTAACTCTACCATTTGTTAGTTTAAAATATAATTATCTTTTTTCATCTATTTTTTTTCCTCCACATCATATTATGTAATTTATTATGTGCATTTTTTATGTACAAGTAGAAAAATCCATAAATGTTGCCCTTGACTCATGCAACCAACTCCTTTTGTGCTTAAGCTCCTGTTTGGTCACCATTAAATTAAAATTTATTTTTCTCTCTTCTCATCTATTACACATTTTTCAATAAGGGAGTGTTTGACACCCATT